TTTGCCTCAACGCCTTAGTTGCGTCTCAACAAACTGTCAACCACAAACATGCCCACTGACATGTCTTAACATTTTTAACACGTTCTTTCAAATACCCACAGTTCAAAGAATAATTGGTAACATGAAAGGAGTCGGTACACATCACTAACACAAGCAAATATGACATGTTAGAGCAATATGGTTTAATGCACCCATAAGTTATTCCTTGTGGCCCTGTCACTGACCAGAGGAGGAGGGGGCGGAGACACAAAGAAACAATAAACACAGTTAAATGTGGGAGCGGGGAATGTAAAACAGCACCAGGCCAAGGTCAAGTCTATAACTGCCGCCCTGCAGAGTGATTTAGGTGCTGTGGCCAGGCGGCTTGTCCAATAGCAGCTGAGCACTGTGACTTAGGGTGGGATGGTAGAGGTGTTGAGAGCCTTGGCAGTAACGACTCGCTGATGACATCAGGACACAGAGCAGAGACTTCTCTCTGCCGTGGGGGTCAAAGGTCAGACAGCCCATTCACTGACCTTGTGATTTATTCCACGGGCCTCCCTCGATCTATAGTCACAATGAAAGCAATGCGTATGCTGGAAATGCATAACTCTCTCTCTCTGAGCTGGGCAGTCTGGAGCAATCCTAAACACGCTCGGGTTGTTTCTTTAGCGCTCTTAAGTCCTCGCTTTATCACCGTCTGCGACAATGAGCGCTCTCTAAAGATCCGCCAGAGGACGGGCTGTGCTCAAATGGCGTAAAGACTTTCAATAGAAAGCACCTGCTTCCAAAATGCAGTGAAAGTCCTTCAGAAAACCCACTGCCTTTAAAGGGAGTCCATGAGGACATCCTCAGAGATAGCATCAGTTCTCTTCATAGCAGCGGACGGGGCTGCTGGTGGGAGCCGTACAATGCAGGTACCTCCAAGCAAACACACGGTGACTGCGGCTGGTTCTGGGAAAAGAGTTTGTGTCCGTACGTACACCAAGTAATGTTTAACCCGACTTCCTGCACTTCCTCTATGCGTAACTTCAGGGATCACTGCATCGCTAATGTCTAACTCGCTGGGACAACAGAGAAGCAACACATACATATGAAAAAATAAAGAATCCATTGATGCAGAGAATAATTAATGTTAGCAAACTGTAGACGATTAGTTGTTGAATATCATTTCTGAAGTAGTGTACCGATTTTCCTTTCTTTTCTTTTATTATGGTATCTTGTTCTAGGGTTAATCATCCCTCATTACGTTATTTTTAGGTGAGACCGTTGTGTTTGCTCAGCAAAAATGTCATCAAATAAATTATACAGCAGGACAACACAGGTGGGTTTCTGCTTTCTCCTTTTTGTGTGATAAAAAAAGAATCCGAATTGTTTAGTTTAAAGACTTTCGATAGCCCTCATTTTGCAATAACTAAAGTCACAACTCATAGTCACGATGTGTGATCAATAAAGAGGAATATTGAGCTGTTGTAGCTTGGTCCTAAAAGAAGTGATAGCTCGGCCAGACAAACAAATCAAACTCCACCGGCGTCAGCACAGGCTGAGGTCCCCACATGCACACTGGGAGTCATGCCCAGAATGACTGAAGTGACCTGTTCTCTGAACCAAATGAGCTGTGTAATGCATTTGTGTGTGTGAGCACACTGCTTATGTGCACTGAACCATGGAAAAAATGAGGGAAAAGTAAAGAGAGGGACTAAAATAGACTGAGACAGAAAAAAAGGACAATAATCCTTGCAGACGTTTAAAAGTCCAGGAAAAGCTCAATCAATCATTCATTTCTTCTGTGTCTCTCCCAGGAAAAAGTCCTCTATAGTTTCATTAGAAGTGATATGAAGCAACTCTCTGCTTCTACTGCTGTTCTTTGTACTTCAGCTTGACGGAGGTGAAACTACCAAGCACCCATCAACATCAACTTTCCCTCTTAGCTGTGTGCTCCCCTTTGCGAGCTCAATCCGTAGGCATCTCAGCTATTTGAAACACTTTGGAGTCCTGAGGTGGAAACATGTGAGGAATCTGGACGGTTGACCCTCCACTCCCCCGCCATCGCTGCTCTCTGATACCTGCTGAGGGGGGAGGAGCGGATAGGGGAGGCCTGGCTTTCTGCATGAGCTTATTACGGCATATCGATGACGGTGAGCATGGACGACCCGCTGACTCATGCAGCGATGCCTCCTGAGCTATAAGCAGAGGGGGCCCGCCCTGTGGGATGCCGGGGCAGCAGGAAGCGGACCTCCTGGTTGGACTAAATGTCCACAGTGCATGAGAGGGATGAGAGGTTTTCCTCAGAAAACTTTTTAGTTTTCAAACACATTTTGTGTAGTTCTACCGATTTCTGCCCCCCCCCCTCTCTATCCGAACACCCAAACTTTCCTCTCACACTTTCTTTTAGGGTCCTCCTGTTTGCCACATGGCTGAAGAGGAGCTATATGGTTCAAATTAGAGCCCGAGGCATCCGTCTACTTATGACCCCCCCCCCATCTCCTCATCCCCCAACACACACGGCTCTTTGCATTTGTTTCATATTTTGTACAGGATATGACTCACCCACGTTTGTTGCTTTAATTAAATGCTGTCAGGGTTATATTGGGAGAAGAAGGAGGGGTCTCACTCACAGATTTGGCGTAGGGAAAGTTACATTAACACATGGCTGTGCCGTTCATTATTCACAGCAGCACCCTGAAGGAAGAAGAAAGAAGGATCTTCAGGAGCAGAACAAGTCGGTTTTGTGCTCGGTGAGTCTCAACAGTGAATAACTGTTAACGGCTTCTCCGTCCTGGCTTAGCTCACTGTGATGGGGGTGGATTGTCTACGTTCCATTGCAGTAAAAAAACAAACACTGCATAATAGTGTATTGCCTCCATTAGGGGCGTACACCCCAGCCACTGCGTGGGTCACGACTGATGTTGGGACTTGAGAAGACGTGTTCTGCTTGAAAATAGACCTGACTTGATGTCCCTCAATAGAAAAGAACCGGCAATAGAAACATTTGCAACACTAGAATAAGAAGCGCGACTTCTCGAGGTTCTGTGAGGATCATTATTAAAGTAAAAAAAGTGAATAAAATGCATCTCAGTCTGGACCAAAGTCCAGGGTCGTGCTGCTGGTATAACTTCCACGTCTGGAGTCCCTGGCTCCAATGCACATTTTGTGAACAACATTTATTTGCAAAGGAATCAATTCAATAATCAGGTGAATATTTTTAGTTTGCAAGATGTTGCTGCTGGACGCAAGATATCTCCTACTTCAATGAAAGGCCTGTGTGTGCTTCCACATCCCTCCCACAACACCACTGACTTCACACCAATAAGAGGTATTCCCACAATCAACACATGGTTAATGGCGAACCTCTCCAACTACGACAAAGGAATCAATATGTTTATCCGAGATGCTGACGGCATAATCAAGCTAATCGCTAATAGCTCGCCAATTTCTTTCCCTCCCACTCTGCTTCCTAAATCCAGACCGTGCCAGGCTGTTGGTGCAGAAGGGATTAAGGGAGAAAGAGGTGTAAAGAAAAGATGTTTAGATGAAGAGGGACAATGACAGGTTGACGGATACGACGGCACAGGGTATTGAGTCCATCCAGTTCTCAGTCAAAGGCCCATGAGACTCTGCTTGATGAGGTTTCTTTCAAACGTGGAACGCCCGAGCGGCAGAAAATAAATTGGGCGATTGTAAATAGACTCATGCAGTAGGAGGAAAGAGACACCCAGAGAGGGAGAAACAGTGGGGGGTGTTTTGTGCCACTCTTGAAAAATGAGTTAAACTCTCCTTCCTCACCTCTCTCTCTCTCTCTTTCTTTCTGGCAAACCCGTCGCCCCCCCCCCCCCCCCCCCTTTTATCTGATGGCTTTACTGGTGGAGGTAGAGATGGGAGAGGAGAGAAAAGCAGACAGGGAACTCTCCATTCACAGGCCAAAGCCCTTATAGTGCCCCTTTTCAATATGAATGGAAGAGTTTTCCCTCCCTTGTTTAAAAAATAAAGGACGGCTTCAGCAGTGGAATTGAGATAGAAAAAAAAGAGTGTTAGTCTTCTATCCTGTGCTGCGTCTCTCTGAACCAATGCGGGGGGCAGCTTGACGCGATGGGGGACCAGGGACCAGCTACAGGGGGGCAGCCGGCGGCATCTCTCTGGGTAACGCTGGAAAGATCTGTTCATCTGAGAAGTTACGGCCTTCAGTTGTTCCTTATTCACTTTCTCCTTTCCACTTCTCCTTTCTTTCTCATCTTCCCTGTCATCACATACTGTGGTATGTAAAATGAACCTGCATAGGACCTATAAGTAAAGTACGCCGAAGGTAAGTAAAAGTACCTCAAAAATGTTTTGCTTAAGCACAGTAACTTTCACTCTTAAATTACTCTTTATTCAAATGTGTTGACTCCAAAGGCATATAGGCCTCAATATTTAAACTCCATTCCAGAGGAAATAATTGCGTTTATCGGAAAGGTAGTAATCTATTATGTTACGTCATAACATATGATGGTACATCACAATGTTTAAACTGCATATCCTAATTTTGTTCCATTATTCATGATTCCCTTTTTACTACATCGTTGGCCGTGTTTGCTCCATAATACATATATGTACATATAAACTCTGCCGTGTCTTAAAGTTTATTTAGCTGATATTACTTTCTTTAAATATGCCAATTTTTGCTGGTACTTTGTGGTACTTCTTCCTTCCTTGCAACCTCCAACTATATTGAGATATAGAAAGCGGTCCAGGGGGTCAGGGACTCATGTCTGCGTGAACGGTCGGATGTCGCGCGCGCCTCGTCGCCCAGATGTCAGGCCTCGGCCACCGGGGGGCGCTGTTACAGCGGTCCCTCGGCCCCGGAGCGGAGCGGGGGCCCCTAACGTTTAAGCGGGTTAAGCGCAGGCAGTTTGATGGGCGGAGGAAGGCAGGGCCCAAAGGCACTGCGGCCAGGAAGCGGCTCGAATTACACTTGGGGGTGCGTGTGGGTGGGGGGGTGACGGGGGTGGGGGGGTGACACCCACTGGAGTGAAGGAGGAGTGCAGTGTGTGGAGACGTAAGGGAGGAGAAAAACCCCTAGTAAACCTGAGCGAAGCGTCTGAGGAGCAGTGCGAGGACCGTCGGCGGAAGGATAGAACGCGGCTCTTCACACCCGGGGGACGCACGCTGACGGGATTTAATGACATTTTGCCCCGGACGACTACCCCCTCCGACCCCCCCCCAATACATTTTGGTTCTGTAAACCTCGTCTCGCCGCCGCAGTAGCTGCGAACTTTCTGTCCAGTTAAGAAGTCCGCCGCTCGGGGAACACTGGGCATGTTTTTGCGCCCCAGACGCAACTTGGTGACGGCGAAGAAAGTTTTGGGTGGGGGTTGAGGGGGGTGGGTGAGGTGGTGCACAGCGGTGTGCTTTTTCCGAGCTGTTTTGAAGGATAACGAACGCGTGTGAACTGGGATTTCTTTGCATGGCGCTGGACTACGCTGCCGGTCGTGTGTGGAATATACCCTGTGATCGGAGTTGATGCCGGTTTGATTGTGGAATAGTAAACCGAGAGAAAGGCAGCGCCTCGCAGTCCCCTTTTCTCTCTCTCTCTCTCTTTTTTTTTTTTGGTGCATTGTGCAGTTGGAGACATTCCTCCCTTCAGATTCAGCTCATGCTCTCTCAACCATTACCCGTGCATGCCAAAACAGAGATCTCCACGATTCCTTCCTCCCTGGTAAGTCTTTTCTGTTTGCGCGTAAAGCTTCCTCGCGCTCTCGTCTGTCACTGTTTGGGCTGTCATGGCACGCGGGCTGCGTGGATTTACAACTGCGTTGCGTCGTCCTGCTCCTTGTCTTTCATTGCGGCTGTACGGCGCATTAAATAGGATTTCACTTATTATAGTCGATTTACAAAGTTTTGTCAATCGACAATGTTTTTGTGTGACCTTTTTGTAAAAGTTGTCCATAAAGTTTTTTTTACCCTTCTGACCCCATGAACAAAACACAACCAATTTACATGTTATTTTCTACCATCCTTCATTTAAGTGGATGCAGATAAATCTTCCCGTGTTTCCTTGAGGAGGCAAGGGACGTACACAGCACCTTGCATCATCACTTTGGGGCCTATTAACAAGTGTCCTGGTTATTTATTACTTTGCTTTAATTTTCTACATTGCATTTATGGTGCCAATTATCCCGTGACCGCAGTTGTTTTTTTCACTGCTCGATGCCGGAGCCCTAAATCACCGAGCAGCTCCAAACGGGCCCCCATTGTGGATAAAGCCAACTCATTTGAATGTCAATAGGAATTCACTCAGTGCCAAGAAATGTCATTCGGCGGGCGGTTTAAATGAGGAGCTGTGGCCATGTATGGGGCAAAGTCCCCCATGTGTCCAGATGTCATCTTGTCAGGGGGCTAAAGGGGCTAAAATACGTCTATAAAAAAACAAGTTAAGGAGCACGTTGTCAACTCAATAAAACCTTTCTCTTCATTTGTTGACACTCTCCTCTCTCTGTACATTCAGTGCCGTACGTTTGGTTATATTGGAAACCTGCCGCATAAAAACGAACGGAGGTTTCTAGATGATTCTGGTCCCGACTCGTCCTGCTGACGTTTCCTGAGAGAGGTGAACTCAATGGTCGATCGCTGATTGCTTTACAATTAGTTAGTAACGCGTCCGTGTGCGCTGGAGCGATGCGGAATTGTCTTGTCTCTAATTGTCACGGTCCTCCCCGGCGCCTGTGCGCGCGTCCGCCGTCCGTGTCGCGCGGCGTCCCCGGAGGCTACGGAGGCTATAACAGAAATCAGAAGTAAAATAAATCAGCTTGCACGTTTCACAATTGCTCTCCAAACGCCAAACTACATGTGTCCTTGCGGGGGGGAGAAAAAAGATCGATCCGTCCGTCTGGAGCAGAAGGAGCGCCGGGAAGCGTGACTTCACCAAACCTCCCGAGACGCTTCAGCGCGATTGTACCGCAGATGTCTGGCTAAACAGATCACCGTGTGCGCGCGTGCAATTAACAATATTCCTTTTCAATTAAAACCTATCCGATAATCAATTCACGCACGTGCAATAAGTTTAACCGATACAATTCGCACGGACGCAGCCGCGCGGGCAACAGGTTCGGCGGGATCAAGCGCAACATGGTGCCACATGGGCAGACATGCTGTCCATCCCGCTCCAGGGTTATTTACAAAACATTACAAAATATATTTTATTAGTAATCTGATGGGAAAATAAATATGAAAATAAATGCCATTTTAATGAAGTTTAGGGAGGCTCTAAACTGGTTAGACTGCGAACACTAAGACTCTCATAGCTCTTAATTGCTTTTTTTCAGAGCATATAATTATTGATGAGCAGCAAAGATATAGTTGACTGCTTGTCTCACAGCTCCGGGATGTCTGATGAATGGCTGGTTTGACTTCTGAAACACTGTCTCTCTGTTTGCTTTCCCTCGTTTCATTTGTCCATCTCATCTTGCGAGGAGCTAAAATGTTGCACAAAAAAACTCTGAATAAAATAAAATAAATTCTTGCACTAACAAATACCCCCCCCCCCCCCCCTCTCTCTGTCCACTTCTCCAATCATCACTCCGCCACCACCTCCCCATCTTTCTGTATCCCTCTCTCATCCACCTCTCAGCCCAGGTGATTGGGTGAATTCTGCTGAGTGACAGGCCGACCGGCAGCAGTTGATGGTTGGGCGGACCCCCTCAGATGGGATCAGTGTCCAGGGGGAGGTGGAGAAGGGGGGCATGGGGAGCGCTTGCCCCCACTAACGGGATGGCCTTGTGGGCCTGGCTGCTGGCCGCTGTCCTGCTGTCCCTGCTGACCGTCAGCGTGGCCCGGCCGCCCCTCGCCGCCACCAAGGAGGAGGAGGCCGCTCAGAAACCTGAAGGTAAGCGGCGGGGGGGCGAGAGGGGACAGAAAAGAAGAGTGTGGGAGGTGGAGGGGGAGGACTCGCCATTTGTTTGGGTGCTGTTAGAGAGCAGTTGAAGGTTTGTCAAGTTTGTTTTCCCTCCTTAAATCTGACTTCAGAGCTTCGATGAACTTTTATTAGAATTCCTTTCCTTATCTCACATTAATGGGAATGGCTCGGCCTTCACATGAGGGATATTTAGCTTTCTATGTTTCATCCCTTAATAACGTGTTTTCCTACGTTGTTTATACATTACTATTTAAGCTTCACTTTGAGTCTAACAAGTAGAAGGAGCTCATATAAGATTTTTTGAGGGGATTCAAATGAACAAACCAAAGGAGAGAAGTAACTGACCTCAGCATGACTGGTGTCTGTTCACAGTGAGGCGATTGATTGGCGCTCTCTTTTCCTTCCACGTGTCCGCGGTAGTTTAGGCTGTGCTTGAGTGTTACGGGCAGGTTTGTGACCCCGAGTGGGAGGACGAGGGGGAGCTGTGAAGGAAGGTGGGACGCTGTTTGTCTGCTGCCATTTCTCTCATGCCCCGGCTTGCCCGGGAAGACGTTTTCTTATTTTGACCCGCAACTCGCTCCGTTGTCTGCAAACTCACATTTCGTTGTGACAGTAAAAGTAAAAGTAAAGTAAAAAAGTAAAAACGTTTTCGAGAGCTTTTCCGTGGTCTGTAAAATAAAAAACTAAAAATGTTTTCCCTTTTGTGGTCAGAGAGAAGCTGATTGGAGTTGTTGTGATGGATGGTAACTCACATTCCAAAGCCCTTTGTTCCTGGGCTTTAATCCGCATGTTAATTGTAAGTTGGGCCAACAACAGAGCATCACTTCTCTTAAGCCACCGAGTCGACCTCTCCGTCTCCCAGTTTCTCTCCATTCATTCGCTCCGTAACACGCCTCGCCCTTTGCCCTAGAGGTCACGCATCGTCCTTTCCCACCTCGACAAGAGCCTCCTGCTGATGCTTTAGTTGGTCTGTCGCAGACGGTTCGGCTGCGAGCTGCCGGCCTCACATGGTCTGAGAGCTGCGCTACACGGCCACAGTTATACAACCCTCCAGGAATGGGCTAAGAGGATTTGTGCATATTTGACTTCTCCTTTAGATGGAGAGATTACGGAGCGTCGGTGAAGTCATGTGACTGAAGATTAGGTGGCTGGACCTGGGGGGGGGTCACATGACGAGGGCTCAACAGGGCACAGAGAACCCGGCCCGCTTATCTGATCCTGAGTCAGTTTCCTCGCTGCACATAGCTCACATAGATTTGACCGCAGCCGTGTGCGCGCGTCTGTGTGTGTGTGTGTGAGCAAATGAATGTTTGTTGCGGTCTTCCCTTCGCTGCTCTTGGTGGGCTGCCCTGTGTGTGTGTGTCAGCGGTAGCTCATACAGTATGTGGTGGGGAGACAGATTGGCTGGTCCCACCCTCTACAGAGATGTTCAGGCCCCCCCCCCGCTCACATTGCACGTCAATGCTGTCTCTGCAGAGCCCACGCCTGCACCCACGGTGGCCCCGCTAGTTTGTTTACCTGCGGCTGCTGTAACACTAGAAGTAGAGCGGGCGCACTCGCTCTACACAACAGAGCCATTGTTGTCCCTTTGGCCACTACAGAATCTACCGTGTTTACCTTGTCACCGTCTCTGCGATTAGAATAATCTGACCGAGCTGAATAACAATAATGGCAAACACAGCAGGTGTGTAAAAGCGGTAGGGTCGGCCCTTTTGTTGGCTCACGCCTCCGTTTAGCGTATGCGAGTGCAGCAACAAGTCCGCTCACGGTCTGGATGTTCTTCTGTAAAGAGCGCTCATCGGCGCCAAAAGAGTTGCACGGTTAAATAAGGAAAGGCTACAAGGACGTATCGTTCATGCTCAGGCGTACAAAAGAGAAAGAAGGATGCTTGTTTATGGGCACAGCGTGAACATCATTTATTTCTTGGCACGTTTCTCTATTTATTTGCTTCACGGTTTCTACTCTTAATCAAGTTTTTACTGCTGTTCTGTACCGTAACAGACATGATGATAATAGACGGCTAACAAAGTCCATTTCCCTCCAGACTGTTGATGGTCCTATGCTAAGTCGGGAAGGAAGGCGCTGTGCTCTCTGCACAGCAGGAGAGGGCTGCTAAAGTATAAAAGAGTCACCTGGCAGGTTAACGACGCACGTTGCGTGCGACTGTGGCGACGGCAGTGGGAGTGAACGCTTAATGAATCGCTGGTGTGACGGAATCTACAGCCTCGCACAACGACTTTCAATGGCCGGCCCGGTCGGGTGCTGTTAATCTTCAATGTGAGGGCTTGTGGGGGGGGTTGGGTGTTTGTTTGCTTTGCTGATATGCCAGAAAACACCTTCTCACTCCACCCCGATCTCACAGCTGTCTGATAAGAGCTGCTACCTGGGCCAGCGTGGGCCTCTTGAGTAAAACCAATCACGACCAAAAGGGAACTCCGGAGAGGCCGGTGCTCTCCAAAATTGCATGGGATCCCCCTTGAACCAAAAAAAATAGCCTCCTTGACAGATGTAACAACAAACAATAATCATCCTTCAAATATGCCCCCTGAATACTCCACCTTCTGATAAAGGCACCTCTTATAATGTAGATGTTTGATGATATTGGAATTAAAATATTAGTTCAACAGTAGAAAACATAAAAAAACGGGTTAGTCTCCAATGTGAGGATTTACTGCTTATCTCTGTCTCCCGTCTGCTTTTTATCATTGTAAGCTGAATATCAAAAGGAGCTTGAACTGTTGGATTCAACTAAACACGTTTGGAGATGTCAGCCTGATCTCTGCGAAACTGTGAGAAAAAAAGCCATTGGCAGATTCCCTAAAGGTGAAAATAGAAAACAGATTCATATCTAGAAGCCAGAGTAGCGGAGCTCTAATCAGAGGGCCACTCGCGCCTCAACCGGAGACGATCCTTGGAGATAAGGGGGTAGCCAAGGGGGTCGGGTGGGGTTCAGAGAATGCCTTGAGGAGCGGTGAAGGGGTCGCTGGAAGCGAAGGGCGCAGTTGCCATGGATGCCAGCAGCAGCCAGTTGACGGAGCTGCTCCTTTGTCATAATAAAAAAAGCCAAGGCCGGATTTGAATGTGAAAGGACACATCAGAAAAGAGGGAGAGGCCAAAAAAGGGGAGAAAATTTGCGGGATTTGACTATGTGAGGAAGGTACAGAGGGGACAAAAAAAGGAGAGAGAAGGAAGCCAGCATCAATAATGTGATTTTGAAGTGTGTGCCTGTTGGTCTGCATGCACCGTCCAAAATGGTAGTCATTGCATTAAATCCACCTATCCCATTGTGTGGAACACAGCAAGATGGAGATTTTGCAGTCTCTCTCTGCAGAAATAAATCATAAGATGAAATATGCAGAATCTCTCTCTTTGGTGGAAATTTATTTGAAAATACAGATCACATCCTTTGTCTTCATCCACCTTTTCTTCTCTAAATGACCACAATACCAACACTTTTACTGCTGGTTACTAATACACCATCAAATTACCCTCACACGTTTTTAACGTTCTTCTAAGGTGAAAAGCAGTTTGAAATAGTCTAACAAGCAGGCAGTTTTATAACTCCTTTATCACTACACCTTTTCCATGGTAAAGAAACATGTTGTGGGTCATTATTATTATTTTTACGTGCCCTTGCTTCACAAAGAAGACAAATCTTTATCACTGGTCTCTCAATAACACTGGTCTTGGTTTGAAGACGAACAGAACGCACAAGTCATTTTCTATCAGAAAACGTGTGTCGTATCCATGATCCACGAGGCGCTGTTGAATCAACAGCATGTACAGGAAGGAGGAGGGATGGTTGAATCATCTGATCCAACATATTTCAGGAAGATGGAGCAGGAGGAGAGGCAGATGCATGGGAGAAGTCTCTGCCTCTTACTTTCTGCACTTTCCATCTGTTGATCCGCTAGTTCACTCTCCCTTTTGTAGCCCTCCTTCTTAAACCCAGCCTCAACCTCTGACCCTCCCCCCCTGACCCACCCGCGACCTCACACACACACACACACACACACACCAAAACATACAAATTCACTGCACCTACCATGAGGCTTTGTTTTGGAAAGGCAATGCAGCTTCCCAAGCTTAAGGCTGCCGCATGCGTTTGCATTTTTTCTCGTTTCAATTCATGCTTCTAAAAGGCTTCCACGTGTTGCAAAGCAATTCACCGCCAGAACAATAGGGGGAGTAACGTTTTTTGTCGAAGACGTCCTAGAGCAGGGGTCTCAAACTCATTTCAGGTGCTGTGATGTCTTTGTGTGTCATTGGTTTCTTTATTTATTTATCATAACTTTATTGCACTGTGCATCGCAACTGCTGCTTTTCATCGCCTTTTTTTCCTCCACAACTTTGTGGACCCCTCGAGGTCTCCCTCCGTGAATCGGAGGCCATCCGCGCGTCATGACTGGTTGTAGAAGTGGTCATATTTGGATTTCTTCCATCAAAAGCTCTTCAATCTGATTCATTCTCTCGTAAAATATCCTTGTTTTAATAATGGCAGTATTGTGCTATGAAACCGGAAATGTGAGACTAAAGGATGTAGTTAGCAGACCAATAGTTGTTGACTTTCGTAGCTTTTGAAGCTAGTCTAGAAAAATGGGTGGACGCACGCAAGCACACAAGAAGGGGTGAAAATGCACCCAAGGGGCTCTTGCGTGTCCTTGCGTTTCTCTGAAAACGCAGAAGCATAAACTAGGCTTTAGTGATGTCATGAGTGCATGTGGGGGTGGCGGGTGATTGCTGTCAGGTGGGGGTTGTTGGGCTCCTCATTTTGGTTGTGCGGTGCAGGTAGAGTTTTGAAAGGAGGCATTGTTTAACGGCTCTCGCTCTGTTTGGATTTGCAGGCCAAATGTTTGCTTGTAAAATAATGCAGACGGTTGGAGATGAAGTGCTACGAAAGTGTTTTTCATTCCATGGCTGGCACAGTTATTTGAGCCCCCCCCCCCGAGCTGGTCGACACACAAACCGGGGTCCTAAACGTCATATGTCCCTCCCTCTCGACAGAACGGCCCCCTCACCGGCCCATCCTCCAGGCCGGTCTCCCGGCCAACATCACGGTTCACGTCGGGGAGGACGCCCGCTTCGTCTGCAAGGTCTACAGCGACGCCCAACCTCACATCCAGTGGTTGAAACACATCAGCCGGAACGGCAGTCGCTACGGCCCTGACGGACACCCGTATGTCCAAGTGTTGAAGGTACCTTCCCGCACTGCCTCTTTCAGTTGTCTTTCCCTTGATTCAAGGTCCTTCTTTCTTTTTTTTGGTTTTCTGTTCTGTTTGAGTTGTCATATAGAGAAAGTGATCATCACATTTCCTCCCTCATTGCTTTGATAGGTCCTTTCCATGCAGGCTCGAGCTGGTGATTCCTGCTCTCTCCTCTTTCCTGCTTATTGATACAGTCGCGATGTTTGCACGTCTGTTTTTGTCTGATTTCTCTAGTTCTAAGTATTTGTGTGTGTGTGGATTGCAGCGTTCAGGCATTAACAGCTCCGACGTGGAGATGCTCACCCTCACCAACGTGACGGAGAAAGATGCTGGGGAGTATATCTGTAAAGTCTCCAATTATATAGGCGAGGCCTGCCAGTCGGGCTGGCTGACTGTCGTTCCAGGTAAACCCTCGAGACCTGACCCCGACGTACCCTTCCTCCCCCCCGGCGTGGTTTCCTGGGCCTCGTCCCTGACCTGCTGTGCTGCGCTGGTCTCGCTGGTGGTCTCTTGGTGGTCCTGGGGCTCACGGACCTTCTCTCCCCTAATGTTTGAAGGACGTCATCCAGCTCATCTTTTTTCTTGTTTGGTGTTTTGGGTCTCATGTTTTCTCTCTCTCTCTACCCCACCCCTTCTCTGTGACTCCTCCTTTCTGCTTTCTGCCCCCCCTTTTGCTCTCATCCCTCTTTTTCTTCCCTTTCACCTCCCTCCTTTCCCTTTCCTGCTCTCCTCACCAGACCACAGGTGTTAACACCCCAGTTTAAGGAGATAGACGTTCTCTACCTGCCCAATGTATCATTTGAAGATTCTGGGGAGTATACGTGCTTGGCCGGGTAATTCTGTCGGGATCTCCTATCACAGTGCTTGGTTGACGGTGCTTCCAGGGTATATACACCCGTCTACTCTCCGTTCTTTTCTTTTTCTCAGGCTTTCCTTAAACAGTTTCATGGCAATGGCCTCAGTGGAAGGCAGCCCCTCCCCCAGTGTAGAGGCACACAGCTCACACACTTAAGTCCTGGGTGGAGAAGGAGATGGAGGAGGTGAAAAAGAAGACAATACAAGAACTGTACCCTTGTGTGTCTACTTGCCCATGGGGAACGTTTAGAGGCTTGCACACATGCCCCGACTGCTTGCTGCTGCTTGCGGAATGACTTTCCCCCCCATGTGATCCTGGAGTGTTTCTGTCTGTGTGTGTGTGTGTGTGTGTGTGTGTAGTTTACATTTAAAACACACACCGGGCGCATAAAGGGGCTGGAAAGCTGTTGAAAAGGTGCATTGAGTCACAGGAAGGGCTGGGAGAGGCAGTGTCACGCCTCTTTAATTACACCTATCAGACTTTAGTCAAACACTACATGCAGTATACCTTCATCACTGGCTTTTTCCTTTTCCATTGTTCCCTCCCCCACCCACACATCTCTTTAATCTGTCTCTTGTTTGCCCCACTGCTTCAGTTCCCTCTGAAAAAAACCCAGTTTGGGACATTTTTGTACTGCAATAAAAATAACTTAGTTTTTCTCCCTGTGGATGGTATCGAAGCAGAGTGAATGGACACATTTGTGCACGAATGCGTGTGTGTGCTCAAGTCTACCGGAGCCTTAAGTCGACTGGAATTTCAGTATATGTGGCGGACGGCATGTTTCATTTCAGTTTTCCCCCCTTCTGCTCAACATTCAGTCACAGTTTAGAGTTAACATATAAAATGTGTCCTGATGTGAAAGGGCCGCCTCAGCTCCAAACTCCCTTTGATGTATTGGACATTCACCTCGTTTGCTCCGTCTAGCTGTACGAGTGAGGGGACACGGTGTACACACATGCACGCACAGGCGGACTTGGATTTTGTCCCAGAAGTGAAGGTTTTATGCACTTTGGAGTCGACAGAAGTTTCTTGCTGTATTTGTAGAGCATCCGTGGCCGTGTTTTAGGAGAGAACCAGGAGGGAGATGGAAAACAGGAGTCAGACCCAAGCGTCAGGCTACAGCCAGGTCGAAGTTTTGTCTAACCAAATGATAGTCCTCCCACTCCCAAAAGAAAACAGTGAAAGACCCCCACCCCACCCCTCCTCCTCCCTTCCTCTGCTTTCCTTTCTGACGGACAGACATGCTGTAGTTACCTTGTTGTTTTGGGCTGCAGAGATCTGTCTGTACTGCTCCTACTCACACACTGGCTGCTCGGAATCTCTGCTAAAAGGGACGGGGGGTGGTGCTGGTGGTTTGAGACTGTCTCTCAACACGGTGATGTCCAGTTCACACCTGCTCTCAAACCATCGATATGTCTTTCCCTGCACATCCTGCAGGGGCCGTAAATGCATGCTCTGAACCCGGCAACAGCAATCACACTGCAAACTTGACAACAGAACAAACGACTGATCTGTGGTTACGACTTGTTAGTGTGTCAGTAAAAATGGCCGTGTCGTGATATGTTCCTTACACTATGGCTTGTTTCCTCCTCTCCCACCTCTGTTTCCTCCTTCCTATGCACCTTCCTCCTTCTCCAATCTTTTCTCTGGCTTCTCCACCCCTCCCCACCCGCCACGCAGAGGCCGCAAACCGAATTCCTACGCCCACGTTGTGCTCAGTGCACCCGGGGGAGTTGCTGAAGCTGAGCTGCCCTCTGTCGCCGCCGGGGACCATCACCTGGACCAAAGACGGCAGCTCAGTGGGCACCAACAATCGCACGGTCATAGAGCAGGAGGTGCTGCAGATCCGTGACGCCACGGCCAAGGATTCAGGCCTGTACACCTGCACCAGCGTGGGCAAAAAAACAGTCTGCTTCATAGTGAATGTCACAGGTGAGTCAGGGAAGAGCCAGAGCAAGGAGTTAGGACGGTTAGGCCTGAACAACAGAACTAGTAGAGCAGATCAGGGATGAATAGACTGGATTTGTGTGTGCCGAATGCAAAACGGATGACAGTAACCGCGGTTACTCTGTGCAGATGCCATCTCGTCGGGGGATGACGAGGACGACAGTGAGCGATCGGAGGACACCGGGGTGGACGAAGAGCAGATAAGTGAGTATGGGAGGAATCAAAAGAGGGATAAGGCGACAGTAGTAGGCCAGTGGCTGCGCTGGTCTCATCCTTTTTTCCAGGAAACGTTTCTATCATTAACTCAACCCTCATTCTCCAAGTAACTACTGGAATTTCTTTAGAAGTTGCAAATGCGTGACCCTGATCGTAATTAAATTTATCCCGTTTTATTCTCAGAACATAACATTTGGCAAACAAAGGGAAATATTAGGAAAACACTCAAATGTTTGGAAAAAATGATAAAAGAATTCCACACACACACAACATTTATCTCCACATCCAGAGCTGGAATCTCCCACATCTCCTTTGTTTGAAACCCTGTGACGATCTAAAACAATAATGAGCAGATGAGAGTTTAAAGTCTGGAATGTTGGGTACTATAGCCAAACACGTACAAAAACTAAATCCCTTAGTGAAATAATATTGTTATGTCTTGATGCTTTGTCCGTCTTTATCAGCACAGTTAAGATTTAGCAGTATGATCTATTATGATATTATGATCAAGGCAGGAGGGAAAGCGGATGGTGATCAGGAGCATCTTTTTGTTTATATACCTTAGCGTTCCTGTCAAAGCCCAAAGTGTGAGATATTGGAGTGCGTGTTGTATTGAGCGAGTCAGTGTGCGTATGTCTCCAGGGAATACAGAGATTCCTGACATTCCTTTAGCTGGTGTCCCCCAGGTATAGTCAAGCCTCATGGAACCAGCCGGCCAGCCAGCCAGTCAGCTGGGCTCATGCATTATAGAAGACAACCCATCTGGACCCAGTTACCCACCTGATGGGCCTGTGTGTGTGTGTGTGTGTGCGTGCATGCGTGTGAGTGAGTGAGATGGAGAAAGAGAAAGTATTTACCCAAGTGTGTCTTTGTGTGTGCGACTATCGGTGGCAGTAATGTGGTCATGTACTCACGCACACAGAGCCTCGCTGAAGTAAAGACCAGGCTTCCACATCAAATTCTCCACACGCATTGCATCTCACGCCGTGCCCCCTCTTCCCCGTTTAGGCTGACTGTAATTGCCTGAAAGCCATTAAACACGAGGGAGAGCGAGTAACTGGGGGAGAGGGAAAGGATGCAGCCGGTTTGGTGGTAAAGGCTGAGGCGGAGCTGTTCTGGCCGTACGGTTGCATTTTCTCGCTGTGTGTGTGTTTCTCAAAATTCAAAAACCCAAGATTTTCATTTTAACAAAAGAGGGGAAGAAGAGGAGGTCCCAACCAGCACGTGGTGGTGTTATTGGTTGGAGGAGACATGGAGCCTCCACAGGGATCTGTGAGGGAAGCTGTGTTCTGAGGAAAGGGAGGGGGGGGGGGGGGGGGTGTAGCCACGTGGGGTCAAAAGCCTTTGCGTTCCTGTTGTTGTTTCAGAGCACGCTGACGACTCTGATCTCCTTATTTTACATCACTCATTTGCCGCTGGGCCTCCTCCTTAGACCTTCATGGAGGAACAGGTCTATCTCACCGGCATCATTCAGGTTCAGCTAAAGCACTCATGCACAGAACAATTGTTCAAAACATTAAATCCTCACTGATGTTCTGTTTTAACACTTAAGTGAAAATCTGTTCAAAGGAATCAATAATTGGTTTTCCACTGTGAAAAAACATTTGAAAGGAAACCATATTTAAGTTTAACTGAGCTTCTTAGCATCTTAATGGAACCAAAGCAGTGATTTCAGTGTTTATTTTGTCTGAGCTCATCCCACTGGTGTGAAGTGAGTGGGACTAAATGGGACAAAAACTCACATGTATCTATAAACCGATCAGGATTTAGCAATAATTTTTAGTAAAAACACAGTACAAGTCAAAAGTTTGGACATCCTTTCTCACTGAATTTAATGAGAAAATGTTTCCAAACCTTTGACTGGTACCGTATTATTATTTTATCAGGGGACAGACATTATGTTGACTCATGTAGTTTGATTACCTCAGCTCACCCCAGGCCAGCTTTGGACAAACGGAGGTGAGCGGGGATCTGTTCGGGCCTTCCACAGCAGCTGGGCCAGCTAGAGTCTGCCGTCATCTGCAGAGAGGTCTGGGGGTCGTCTTGTTTGAAGTGCTGCCCCTCCGGACGGAGAGCATGGGAAACGGCTCCGTCCACCTTTCATGTCCTAACCTCATCCTCCAGACCCGGCTGCCAGTTTGTAAGAGGTCAGAGTTCGTTTGGGAGAACCAGCCTCGCAATGGGGCCAGTCCCCACATGATCTGTCTCGTCTGATCTGACGAAGCGATGGCAGAGAGAGAGAGAGTGAATGGGGAGAAATGGAAGGGGGGCTGAGAGGAGAAGATGCAGGAAGAGAAGCACACATAGCGAGAGGAACAAGGAAAGGCGGCAGGACTAATTGTAGTTTGGGCACTCGCCGTACAAATCCACTCAGGAAGGAAGAGCCCTGTTTACTGAATTTATTATCCAAGTATGTGCGACTTGTACGGATGTGCGTGCCAGAGAAAACGCCGGGAGGTGTCTGACAGTATGCAGATTGGCCCGGCGGGAAAGAGAGTGGAGGAAATATTGCCCTGAGAGGTCAACTCATGTTGGAGTCAGTAGTGCTCTTATCAGTGGGTATTCCCAACATTGCTTGCCGTTTTTTTGGTTGTTGTCTGACTCAAGTATTTCTTCCCCTCTGAGTGCCATCTGCTGAGGCAATCACACACCCAGGTGCAGAGGGAAAAGAAAGGGGGGGTTGATCTCTGAGGGAAATCCAGCTGACTGAAAGACAGAAATTGGGAGCAAAGACAAAACCAGAGAACGGAGGAAACACAAGGAGGCTGACAGCTTTCTGCAAATGCTAACACAAAACCTCTCCCCCGGCGGCACATCATGGTTTTCTGAAGGTGATAAGAGGGCCGAGCTACAGATAAAGAGGGGAGCTGCAGTAATTGGAGGAAGTGGGAGGGAGAGAAGAAAGAGCTGAGTTGAAATTGAATGTGATGGTCTAGTGACCCTCTTGGCAACGCCCAGGCACATTCTCCCCTCAGAGCTGTTTCCCCCCCCGTCTGCTTATCCTACAGGGAACGTGTGCGTTTTTACGTGAGAGAGTGAGCTCTGGGTTGTGTTATGCAGACAGCGGATCCGTAATGGAGGAGGGGTTGCTCCTCTGCAGTCACGCTTCCATGTGCATCTGCATGTGTGTTAATGCTGTGAGGACATCTCAGCCTCACTGAACACCAACTGGTCTCTGGTTCTAGGCGCTCCGTTTTGGACCTCGACAGCGAAGATGGAGAAGAGGCTGCACGCGGTGCCGGCCGCCAACACGGTGAAGTTCCGCTGTGCCGCAGGAGGCAACCCCCGGCCCAAGATGCGCTGGCTTAAAAACAGCAGGCCTTTCCGCCAAGAGGACCGCATGGGAGGGTATAAGGTAGGATAAAGAGTTATACGTCATATTTGACCTCAACTCACTGCCTTCTCTGACCTTTTACTGCTTTCTGTGCAAATGTATTTACAAGGGACGTAGATCCTTCCTACTTCCTTTCACCCCTTTTCCACCCGTCACTGGAGAGACAGGAGGAGAGTAGGCAGAGGAACAAGAGGGCAGGGTTTCTGGTGTGAAATTGGAATTGCTCATCCGTGCGCCTCCTCTCACCAGGACACTTCTAGTCGGCAACTTAAGGGTTAAATGCACCCAGACAGTAACGTATAGAGACGGTGGTTAGAGGTGGAAGTGAGCTGAGAATGCTGAGGTAACTCAATCAGGGAGAACAGGTCCCACTGGCTCTGGTCGGGAACCCGTTTGTGACTTTAGCATGTGATTCTTATGTTGGTGAAATGGGATTGACAAACACTATTGCTGAGCTGGTGCAAGCTTAGTGTGCTGCTCCATTTGAAACATTCTACATAAAGACAACCTAACAGACTTGGACTACAATGCATTGAATATTTTATATGTATAATGTCAGTAGTAAACATCTTCGATACCGCTTTCTTTTCTGTGGTTCCTTGTAAAATGTTCTCTCACTCTTTTCCTGTTTTTTTTGGAAAAACTTTACTTCTGTGTGATGGGAAGCGAAGCTAGCGTGGTTGTGTTGAGCCGCTACAACTAGTCTTAATGTGAAGAATTCCTCTCCGATGAGTCTATTTGAATTGCAGGTCAGTTATTAAACAGTTAAGAAATGAACCCACTGCAAGATGCAGTGATGCTCAACAAGTCGGAGTTTCCTGGTTAATGACTGACAGCTTATGAGGAAACACGCCTCCCTGCCAGGAAAGTTTAGGAGCAGATTATGTTGATGCAGTTGCTTATGCCGTGTCCCTTTCGGCGCGATCATAACAGCGTGACAAAAAACAGCCGCGACACGACGGAAACTATCCCGTCAGGCTGTCAGATACACTGCGGCCAGCTCATTTCTCTCTTTTTGTCAACAAATGCTGGACAAAGGCGGTACCTGAGCCCAGCCCTGTGGCATAATCTCTCCATTGTGTGAAATGGAGGCCTGTACAAGCAGCAGGCACCGTCTCTCCTCAGCATTCAGACGGAAGCTCTTTTGTTAGCTCACACCTGTGGATTCCACGAGGGGCGAAACCCTTCTTCCTTTGCAAATACCTTTTTGTGCGTGAAGCAACTCAGGGTGGAGTTTTCTCTCTCTTCATTCTCATTTCATCTTCCTCACTAGCGCCTGCTCTCCATGCCTGTTGATGTCTCGTATGTACGCGCGTAGCATTAGCGTGCGTAGCATTGACTGTGTCGGTGTAACAGAAAGCCCTGCCCTCTCGTTCCCAGGTGCGTAGCCAGCACTGGACCCTGATCATGGAGAGCGTGGTGCCCTCGGACAAGGGCAACTACACCTGTCTGGTGGAGAACGAGTTCGGCGCCATCAACCACACCTACACCCTGGATGTAGTGGGTCAGTACAACACATCCTCAGGTCCAGAGTACGCCTGCATCAATGAAGGCAGATTGGGGAGGGCGGGTCGTCACAGTGAGAATGGTGTCTGTGCTGTTTGAGGGCCCAGGTGCACCCGGGATGCAGGTACAGGCCGAGGACTGCTGCCAAGTGTCTGGGAGCTAAAGATGCATGTGACAACAGTTTTCATGTAGTACTTAATGGTTTGCTGTCCATTTGTGGCGAGGCCGCTCTCCTTTGGCCTCACTCACATCACAAAACAATTACAACAATTACAAACAATCAAAGTTTAACTGACACGGCTTTTCTCCAAAGTGAGCTCAAGAGGAGCATTCAGGTACCACGGCTGTGTATCACCATTGTTCTGAGTTGTTGAACAGTTGTTGTTACTTTCCTTATATCAGATGGAGTTTCATTACCTGATGGTTTTTGCACAATGAGCAAATATAGACCTTTTCGTTGCCATTCTTTAGAACTGAGTTTACTCTCTGTGAGCTCCTGCATTTACAGACATGGCAACAGGAATTGCAAAGGGATCCGTTTAGAATGTTTATGTAGTACGGCGAGTCGAGAAGGGCCTAAAGAATCATGCACACAAACACGTGAAGGTCCTCACACGCACACACATGCTCCCCAACTGCGGGCCCCTGCTCTGCTCCCCTGGAGTAAACTAAAGCTCTCCTTTAGACTGCATATTTCAGTTTTTTGTTCTGTTTTATTGCAAAGCAGTAAACCCCCTCCACGTCTGGCTCTGCAGCCACTGGCCCCTGCAACCTCTTGCCTCATTTTCTTCCATTATAGTGAGGTCGACGGAGGGAGGGGGGGGCAGAGAAAAGGAGGCAAAACAGAAAAAAAAGTCTGTTCTTATCACTCGCTTTTTTTGTCCAAAGGACTTGCTGGATCAGCTATTAAAACCAAGAGGAACCAGTTCAGACTGGCCCCAATAGAAAGGGCCGCAGTGGGACGCCCACGAGCAGACACACATGATGAGTGGACACAAACGAGGAGTCAAAGCACGTCGGCTCTTTCAATCGGAGCTGTGGCCCCCAGTGGCCGTGCAGCACTTTGTTGGTATCCCCATGCCATCCTGTGCCACGCCGCGCTCTCTTCCTCTGCCGCCACCCCTCCCCGATCCCCGTGTGCCAAGCCGCTAGGTTACCCAGAGTTCAGCGGTCTCGCATGGGACACCATGGAATGCCCTTGGGTTTGCCTCCCCACGCTTCTTTCGGCCTCCATCCCACCGCCGCGGCCATCAAATTTCTTCACTGATGACTTAATTGACAGATGGAATCATTTGGTCATATGGAACACAGAGAAAGATGAAAAGGCATTTTTTAAATTCCATTTCAAGTATATTCATTGTTGAGCAATGACGCTTTTTAAATGATCTGAGATGGCCACAAACCAATAACAATATACCGTATATATAAATGCATGCACCATAGTAATTCTGTCAGGTAAAGTATAAAGTGGCAAGCAAAAAAACCCTGAAATATGCACTAGTATTTCAGTAAACGCACTTTACTACATTCCACCTTTGTGTACATGGAAACCACCTGTGAGCTGTTTCTGCCGCCTTTCACGCATCAGACCGAGAGGACACGACAGCGATGTTCTTCAAATCTTTCTTGAACAATTCATTTTCTCGTCCCCCCCCCCACACACACACACGTAATATTCCTTATCCTAATTTAAACGAGTTGTGCTCCACAAAGTTTTATAGTTTTGCGGTTTCTCCATATTCATGATGTAGCCTGTTTTATCGCAGTACACACACATCTGGTCTGAGGTGTAGGCCAGGCTCCTCTAAATGCTCCAGTTAACATTTGAATCAGCTATAATGACGGTTAGAAAGAATATCTCATCTCCACATTTAAATTTGGGGCTGCTTTAGTTAAGCTATGACATGCCTGAAAGTGTTGCGTGGTTGGTATGACAAAGATTTGGAGATTTAAGTTCACCATCGCAAAGATATAGAATATGAGGGGAGGGAGATTGGGGCGGGCCAAAAAACCAGGCGGACCCGAGGAATGCACAGGAAGGAGGAGGGAGATCGGGAAGCAGGGGAGGGTTGGTTGAATCATCTGATCCAACATATTTCAGAAAGATGGAGCGGGAGGAGAGGCAGATGCATGGGAGAAGTCTCTGCCTCTTACTTTCTGCACTTTCCATCTGTTGATCCGCTAGTTCACTCTCCCTTTTGTAGCCCTCCTTCTTAAACCCAGCCTCAACCTCTGACCCTCCCCCCCTGACCCACCCGCGACCCCACACACACACATACAAATTCACTGCACCTACTATGAGGCTTTGTTTTGGAAAGGCAATGCTTAGGAAGCGTCCTAAGCTTATTGATGTCATTTAGTGTGTGTGTGTGTGTGTGTGTGTGAGTGCATGTGGGGGTGGCGGGTGATTGCTGTCAGGTGGGGGTTGTTGGGCTCCTCATTTTGGTTGTGCGGTGCAGGTAGAGTTTTGAAAGGAGGCATTGTTTAACGGCTCTCGCTCTGTTTGGATTCGCAGGCCAAATGTTTGCTTGTAAAATAATGCAGCCGGTTGGAGATGAAGTGCTACGAAAGTGTTTTTCATTCCATGGCTGGCACAGTTATTTGAGCCCCCCGAGCTGGTCGACACACAAACCGGGGTCCTAAACGTCATATGTCCCTCCCTCTCGACAGAACGGTCCCCTCACCGGCCCATCCTCCAGGCCGGTCTCCCGGCCAACATCACGGTTCACGTCGGGGAGGACGCCCGCTTCGTCTGCAAGGTCTACAGCGACGCCCAACCTCACATCCAGTGGTTGAAACACATCAGCCGGAACGGCAGTCGCTACGGCCCTGACGGACACCCGTATGTCCAAGTGTTGAAGGTACCTTCCCGCACTGCCTCTTTCAGTTGTCTTTCCCTTGATTCAAGGTCCTTCTTTCTTTTTTTTGGTTTTCTGTTCTGTTTTAGTTGTCATATAGAGAAAGTGATCATCACATTTCCTCCCTCATTGCTTTGATAGGTCCTTTCCATGCAGGCTCGAGCTGGTGATTCCTGCTCTCTCCTCTTTCCTGCTTATTGATACAGTCGCGATGTTTGCACGTCTGTTTTTGTCTGATTTCTCTAGTTCTAAGTATTTGTGTGTGTGTGGATTGCAGCGTTCAGGCATTAACAGCTCCGACGTGGAGATGCTCACCCTCACCAACGTGACGGAGAAAGATGCTGGGGAGTATATCTGTAAAGTCTCCAATTATATAGGCGAGGCCTGCCAGTCGGGCTGGCTGACTGTCGTTCCAGGTAAACCCTCGAGACCTGACCCCGACGTACCCTTCCTCCCCCCCGGTGTGGTTTCCTGGGCTTCGTCCCTGACCTGCTGTGCTGTGCTGGTCCCGCTGGTGGTCTCTTGGTGGTCCTGGGGCTCACGGACCTTCTCTCCCCTAATGTTGGACCCTTGCGTTTCAGCTGCCTTCCTTCACTGCTGAGAGTAGCGCAGCCATAGAAGCACTGGTCGGACCTGCATACCTAGACACAGCTGGCATTTCAACCTCCCTTTCTCTCCCTTACAAGCTGTGTCAAGAAGGTGTTGCAGTGCAGTGCCTTCCATGCCCTCTGTGTTTGTTCATGCATGGTGATGGGAACGTTTTGGTTTCTTTTTGTTCTTTTGTTTGTTGGTGTGTTGGCGTATTGGTTCTCATGTTTTGGTGGCATATTGGGCTCTTTCTGTGTTCATGAAGCCTCTTCCTTCTCTTTCTTACCCTTGGAATCTCCCAACATCCTTTGCTCTAGATTGGACCTCAACAAAGGACGTCATCCAGCTTTTCTTATTTTCTCTTTTGGTGTTTTGGGTCTCATTTTTTTTCTCTCTCTCTCTCTCTGCCCAACCCTCCCACCCCTCTCTTTTCTGCTTTCTGCCCCCCCTTCCCCCTTTTGCCCTCAATCTTCATCCCCATTTGTCTTGCCCTTCACCTCCCTCCTTTCCTGTTCCTCCTCTTCTCCTTCTCACCAGACCGCAGGTGTTAACACCACAGATAAGGAGATAGAAGCTCTCTACTTGCCCAATGTAACATTTGAAGATTCTGGGGAGTATACGTGCTTGGCGGGTAATTCTATTGGGATCTCCTATCACACTGCTTGGTTGACGGTGCTTCCAGGTATATATACCCGTCTACTGTTCTCCGGCTTGCCTGAATCACTTTTATGTCAATGACCTTGGCGGAAGGCAGCCCCCCCCCCCCCCACCCTCTCAGAGTCTCAGAGGCACACAGGTCAAATATTACATTACTACTGTGAACTAGCCCGTCAACATCCGTGACTATGTAACGTAAGAGCAGGCATATATTCTGGAATACTATCTGGATTGGCGAGCTGTCGAAAGCTCAGAGAGATAACGGGCTGGTTTGCAGACGACTTATTATTACTCCGAGACAGAAGTGGAGCTCCCAGAGCAGCTCGAGTGTCTCGGGACTCCAAAAGGAGGGGAGGGGATGTCGCTCGCCTTCTCTTTTCCTTCTCTTACGTCTCTCTTCTGCACCTTGGGGAAACTATTTCAGTGCCGCATTTTGGTTTACGAGTGTGCATGTCCAATAAAGCGTTTCCCTCCCCCCACCCTTTCAATGGCTCTGATAATTGGCTTCTTTTAAGATCCTTATTTCTGTTTGGAATGAAGATTGAAAGTTAAAGCACAACACTCGCTTCATGTTGGCTTGCCTTTCTCAATTATCAGGGCCAAACCTGTCTCCGCTTCTACACACTCAAGGACTCATGCATGTGAATGTTCGTCCATTTATGTGCTCTCATCTATCGACTTTTTTTAAACTTAGTCTTCTGCACAAGTTCCCTGCAGGCATTTTGGCAACAGACCAAAATGCCTCTGCCCGAGTTTTAGGTAAATGTAGGGCAGGCATCAAACCAATCGATGAGAGTAGTTTACTGTCTGCAACAGACAACCGGTATCAACAGTTAATAATCACTGGCGTGCCATTTCCTCTGGGAGCAATATGTTATCGTTATGTCATCTTTGATGGCGTCTGTCTGTGCGCAGTGGGTTTTGGGTCCAGCAGCTCTCAGAAAGGTTGGGAGATGTAGCTTCACCGCAAGGTTTAGTAATGCGAGAGAAAGATGTGCTTTCCGATGGTGCTTACATGTACGCATGATTCATCCTTAAAGCATTAGCCCCTTTGTTTGCCTAGCTAAGACCTACGTTGGTCTATTTGAATGGAGAACTTTGTCACCCATATGTGTGTGTGTGCATAGCGGTCTGTAAGAGTCTTTCCCTCGGTCTCACTGCTCACCCTTTACTTTACCCTCAGCGATCGAGAAATCCATCGGGCCCTTTTCTCCAGACTATGTGGAGATCGCAATCTACTGCGCAGGCGTCTTCCTCATCGCCTGCATGGTGGGGATTGTGGTTGTTTGCCGCATGAGGAACACCGCCAAGAAACCCGACTTTGGGGGCCAACCAGCTGTCCACAAACTGAGCAAGCAGATCCCTCTGCGCCGCCAGGTAACAGAAAGTAGATAAAGAGTTCTAAAGGCATTTAACACCCCTAGAGGAGAAAATCACACAATGCAAAAATACAATATTATACTACAAACTATAGATGATTGACATAAAAACACAGGAGGCTTAGGTTGCATGGTTGATAAAATACTTCAATAGCAGTATTTTTAAAAAATCCACCTCATTTGGAGGGGATGCATTTCTGAGCAAGTTCTTTCTCTGTATGAGCCATGCTTTTCCCCTCAAGGGAAACCCAAATAAATGCTCCAAAAGGTACTAAAAGTATTGGATTTCATTCTGCGGAGAGACTGATTCCTGTGTCAAGGTAAGGTTAGGGCGGAGAGTCGAGAGATGAGCCCTGAGGACCGAAGGCAAGGCTGGACGCTCCACACACATTCATCAAAAGGACTGCCGTCCCTTTCTTCTTAGTGATCAATGGAATGTTTCTCTCTGGTCTAAAGTCTAGATGCTACTGTGATGTTAAAGCACAAACCGTGGACACTTATGATGTATTCATTTGAACAGAAATACCTTGTAATTCCAGTAAAAGTACCACAGTGAATCACTTATATGCACATCAACCCTTACTCCTCTAGTGATGCCTTGGAGCTTTATCTGACCTGTGTACCAAGACTCCGGTGATCAGCCAATCTCTCCCCTCCATTAGGTGTCGGCTGACTCCAGCTCTTCCATGAACTCCAGTACGCCGCTGGTACGCATCACGACGCGGCGGAGCTCAGCGCACGACGACCGGATCCCCGAGTATGACCTCCCCGAGGACCCGTGCTGGGAGTTTTCCCGAGACAGGTGAGGAACATCTGCCTTTCACGCGCATGGTGGCGTGCTGCAATACGGTTCCTGTTTCACAGTTATCATAACAACTTTCAGCTCTACACACGCTATTGTCCTCCATGCCTCAAGATTCATCCATAAAGCACCTCCGTTTGATTGTGTGTGGGGCTACTGAATGATTAGATAACGATGGCTTGAGGCGAAGAGGACTATTAACACCGATAGACAGCAGGCAATAACGACTAACTGCTAGATAATGGTTGTGGTGCCTGAGATAGAGGCTGCTGATTCATCTGTTGGTGCTGTAGTAAAATGACTTGAAGTTGGCACCGCGCCCCACGCCTCATCTTTACAAGCGCTGCCTGGTCACACTCTCACTCACACACACACACAGTCGCACACAGGCTTGGACGGTATGTGGAGGGACGGTGATAATTACTGTTTTGCGCTCGCAGCTTTCAACAGCATGTTTGAGCTGGGAGTGTTTGCTCGGCTTCATACCAGAGGAATTAGCGCCACGGAGGTTTCCATTGGTCACACTTTTAGCGGCCGGTGATAAGCTTTAGGCTGGATTTAAATGGACAGCAAAGGTTGAAGTCGTTTAATACCTACTCGAGGCCTCTGTTTTTTAAAGAAAAAGGAAAATCCCAAACTATAAACACGAAGGCCTGTCATTCGTGAAAAAAGAAATGACTTGTTTCTTAAATTCTAAACCTTTTTTAGAGTAAAGCCAGACTTCCTTGTGCGTATAGAATAGCGTTGTGGGGAAAGGTTTTGATTCTAATTGATTAGATCAGCAAACAGGATGTTTTATCTACGCTGAATGGATCTCTGTGAGCCTCTCTGTTGGGTCTTTATTCCTCGCCTGTCATGTCTGCGCCTGAGGGATCATGTTGGGATCGCAGAACGCCGAGGAATGCTAACATTTGTGGTTTTCACGGAGGAAAAAATAACAGATTATGTGTGGCTGGATGGACAGAATGGATGCCATTGAGCGTGGCGAGTGTGTGGACAGATAGGGGATTGTGTTTCTCCGGCCGGGCGCCGGGCCTCGTGCTCTTGGCCTGGCGGCATGCGGTGTGAGTGTTTACACAGCCAGGACACTGGGCCTTAGAGGTGGGGTTACACCTGTCAATCACACCAAAAAGCACAGCGGTACACTGCTTAGCTCATCTGGGTCAGATGGGTGCTGCGGCTGTCATGGATAGTTGTGGAGTATGGAGTATTTCCTCACCATATGAATCAATATCACATAGTTGGACATAAACATCGGACACACCAGCGATTGTGTGCCATTAAATTCCATCTGGTGTTGTAGTCCGGCTCACCAGTGCAGCAACACAGCATCCAGCCAGCATCTCATCCGTCACAGGCCAATGTGACAGGCAAAGCTAAGCTCTGTGTAATGACTTTTAAAGTGTGCGTTGGAGTGCATATTGGAACATGCCAAGGCGAGGTAAACAGTTTAGAAAAGAGCGCCTCTCCCTGGCCTTATCAGGTGATTGGCTTTGCCGTGTCTTCCTCCGAGTGCCTACCTACTGCTCTGGCACGGGCTGCAGTTACCACGCCAATAAAGCACTCACACAGACACAATCTGATTCAAACAGAGGGAGCGATGCAGTAAAAAAATAAAACAGGTTGAGAAACTGGCCCGGTGCCTGTTTTCATTACCAGGTCATGTCATGGCATCTCAGTGTTTGTTTCAGCAGCTAAACAGGTTCCTGTCTGTTCTTCTTGTCCCGCCCTCTTTCTATGTTTTCTCTGTGCTGACTGCAGGCTGACCCTGGGCAAGCCCCTAGGTGAGGGTTGCTTCGGCCAAGTTGTGATGGCCGAGGCCCTGGGCATCGACAAGGACAAAACCAAGGACGCTGTAACGGTCGCTGTCAAGATGCTGAAAGGTAAGCAGGGTCTCCTGCAGCTGCACAATCACGTCGACCACTGGGATGAGACACACGCTGCTTCATTAAGACTTGTGAGCAACCCGAGAACATATCACAGGCAGTTTATGCTACAGTAGGGGGTTCAGCAAAGGAGCAAGGCGGAGCCAGGGGCTCTCATTATTATTCTTTATTGTTGGTTGCTGAGTGACGGCCAGGGGGAAGCGGGTTGTGTAGGTGAGGGTTAGGGGCGGTCACATACCTGACCCAAGAGCAGCAGCTGGCTGGAGCTCAGTCAGCACCCACACAAAGAGGCAAGTCACACTAGCAGCACTGATTAATGAAATCGGCAGGAGGGGGCCCTGGGTTTGGGGGGCGGGGGTCAGACCAGGTACAGGAGCAGGCTATTGGACCGAGCTCGACATTGTCAATTTGCTCTTTATGACCACCCCAGGTAAGGTAATGGCCCAGAGGAATGCAGGCAATGCCATTCTGCCCTTCCTGATACCCGGCTGGCTCAGTCTGTCCCATGAAAAAGGAGCCTGTGCAGCAAATAATGAATTGTGATTGAGCGTCTTTAATTCCTCCCCCCTCCCTCCCACTGTCACTGAAAGGATGCCTCTGTAGTCTGTGTGAGGAGCTTCCCTCGCCGCAGTAACTTAAGCCCACATTGTCTGTCAGCCGCGCTTAATCAGAAGCACCTACAAAATAAAGGTGTTCTCCTTCTGTTCTTAGACGATGCCACTGAGAAAGACCTGTCTGACCTGGTGTCAGAGATGGAAATGATGAAGATGATCGGCAAACATAAGAACATTATTAATCTGTTGGGGGCTTGTACACAAGAAGGTGAGTAGGACGTGACACAGTGTAACACATCGTAGAGGGCCTTAAGGGAGGGGTGCACTTAGAAAATTGTATAACTTGTTGTTATCGTATTCAGTCATGTGCCTCGTTAACTTTGTTGCAACGCTGAGCTTAAGTTTGCCACACATTTATGAAATGTTTCCTCAGACATCACCCACGAGTGAAGGACAAGGTGGCAGCAGCTAAAAGCCTGAGTATCTCATTTAGAGAGCCTAATTGGATGTGAAGGGTGGATGATGCCGAGCAATCTAATTTTCTAATACATCTAATAAATCAAATCTAATAAATGACACGACATGACGCGTCACAGAGTGACTGTGGAAAAATGGAAAGATATGAAATGCAGTACACTTGCAACTAACCTTTTCAGAGGCAGAAAGACTACAGTAGTACCCTTGCCTCAAAGTACTCAAGTAATGTATTGTGTAAGAAGTAGGTCAGTGAAATTGTGTTGCAGCATAACATAAGAAATGTAATGCTGCAACACAACAAATGCTATTTTCTTTATGTGCACTTTCTTTCATTGAATCATTTGTGCCCATGAGGTAATGTGGGTCCTTCTCTCTGCCTCAGGTCCTCTCTACGTGATAGTGGAGTACGCCTCCAAAGGCAACCTGAGGGAGTACCTGCGGGCCCGCCGGCCGCCCGGCATGGAGTACTCCTACGACATCGCCCGGGTCTCAGATGAACAGCTTACTTTCAAAGATCTGGTCTCCTGCACTTATCAGGTGGCCCGGGGCATGGAGTACCTCGCATCCCAGAAGGTAACAACCGACACACAAACACACAAAATATCCTGTTTTCACATCAGTCCTGTTCTGGCTGCCAAGGCTGATCTCAGATCATCCAATGTGCTGCACCCAGCGACTTTTCATGCAGGGAGCTTGCATGTGCGTCACGGTGGGAATGTTGTCTCCTAAAAACACTTCACTGACCCCCCTCCTGCCAGGACCCATGCATTGTCTCTCATCCAACCACAAAAGCCCCTCTGTGTAGAGCTGCGAGGTCACCGTCACTGGGGGTCCGGCCATGGCGGCCGAAAGCAGCCTCACGCTCCCTCTCACTGTTGGAATGTGACAGACTGTACCGTCTCAGTCACCCACACGCACACAAACACACACACAAACGTACGATTTCTGACAGATGCACGGTGATGCACAGAAACCACTCGGACCGAATATGTGCTCAAGTATGCAAGGAATGCCTACTTATCCTGACACGGCTCATTTCGCTGCAGGAGCTTTTCCTAACACCATTCCTGATTCAGTATACACCTGTTTCACAGCGGGTTTATTAACGGAATGAGCTAATGAGTCTTCTTCCCCTCTTCTCTCACCCATCCCAAATCCTGTCCCACTCTCCCCATTACAGTGTATACACAGAGATCTGGCAGCCAGGAACGTCCTGGTCACAGAGAGCAACTTTATGAAGATTGCTGATTTCGGGCTGGCCAGGGACGTCCATAACATCGACTACTATAAAAAGACAACCAACGTGAGTCCTCGTCCCGCGTGACGAACGCTGAGACAGTAGTATTCCACTCTTCCCCTCGGCTGGTGTCCTGGCAGACGCTGCAGGTTCCCAGGAAGCCTGTGAATGTGGTGCTTCTGGAGGCTCTGTCCTGCCCTCTCTTGTTCCTTTGGTTCCACAGACACTTACACAATTAGCCAGAAGAAGAGCGGCAGAGCGAGAGCGAGAGGGGGAGGGGCTTAACCATTATTGACATTTCCATGGTGGCCCAATGGTGTCTTTTTTTCCCACCGCAGAGCAGCATTGGCGGCACATCCTCATCCTTTAGTCGGCATGGCCGCTTTCTCATCGCACGCAGAGAACAATAACTACCAACGTGCAACGATGTCGATGATAAGGATGATTAGTGATGATTGCGTTAAACTAATCTAAGCGGAGCCGTCGTAGTAGTGACACAGTTGTTTCATTTCAGTTTCATCTCTGCTGTCGTTGTGTGATGAATGATGAATAGCTAGAGTATATATACACATATTTTACATATATATTTTGTGTTTCTCACCATTTTTTCTTCATATTTTTGTCGATGGCTTAGTATTTAGGACCGAGGAGGACTTGTTTAGGTGTTATCCCTTCATTTAGTGACTTGTGTGTCCGATGAGATTGTCCTTGCCACTAGTCGACCGCACTGACGCTGACCAAGGTCGCCTTGTCAGCAACGCTTAGTTTCCCAGCCAGTATTTTAACCGCACAGAGAGATAAACTCTCCTTTATCTGTGACCATGTTTATCAGCTCTATTGCTCTAACAATGTAAACGTTCCTCTGGGAAATCCTCCTCCCAGGCTCGCTTTCACGTATCAGCATCTCCAGCAGTAATGAGATCTCCCTGCACCAAACTGATTCAAGCGTCGAGCAAGACATAAAGAAATCCGTGGGCCGGTTGTGCGTTGATTTTGTTTGACCTCACATCCGTTTGTGTCCTCAGGGTCGCCTCCCGGTGAAATGGATGGCTCCGGAGGCGTTGTTTGACCGGGTCTACACACACCAGAGTGACGTGTAAGTATATGGGTGTTATATATATACAAGTATATGATAGAAACCAGTGACCGGTGATGCAAATGAACCTTCGCATTCATTAAAACACTCTCATCACTGCTGTTTTTCATGGCGTTTGGCTGAAGCCTGCAGTCGGCCTCGGAGGGTTGTTTTTCTGGGGGTGGTTGAGGTGTTTGGCTGCAGCACTCGGTGAGTGTTAGGTGGGGCGGGGGCTGCCTATAGGGGGCCGCTCCGTGGCAAAAGTGAGGATTTCACGCTAGACTTGTAGCCAATGCCGTGTTACTAATCTGACCGGCTTCAAAGGGCAGTGCAAGGAGCCCCGAGCCCACCAGCGCCGCCTCCCCCAGCGACCCACCCCGAGCCCCACCAGCTCGGCTCGGAAGTCTCCCCTCTCGTCCGGCCCCCGCACATGTCCAAACGCAACAATGCTGCGGCCCTCCGGTGCGGGCCTCACCCTCCCTACACCCCCCTCCTTTAACCCCCTGCCATCCTTCATTCTGTTCAACACTTTGAACACGTGACTCATCGTTTTGGAGCCCTTCCATGATCAAAATAATCCCCCGCCCCCCCCCCCTCCTCCACCACCACTTTTCGCCCGCCGTTCTTGTTTTCATTCATCTGGTATGTGAATTGCAGACCCGTCTCTTTCTCAGTCCACGGCGCTTATTCTAAAAACAGAACAAAGGGAGAGCGTCCCCCCTCTTCTCGCAGTTTGAGTCTTATGTGTCCTGACAGCGCTGTTTGAAGTTTGTGCTCCAGACACCGGCGGCAGAGAGCGTATGTGGCAATTAGATAAATGCCTCGCATGCTGACCCCTTGGAAGGAGGATTCTTTGTGTGTGTGTGTGAGTCATACAGCAGTAGCACACTAAAGATAGCGCTCATCCAGTTAAGCACTTGGATCGAGGGTCTCGCTACTGTCCATGCTAGTGTCTGCGCACGTACACATCATGCCCTTCATGTTCCATGGTGCAGGATCAATCAATAACCTGGGGGAGCACAGGAGGGCCGGGTGGGGGGTGGGCAGACATGAACTGCCTACTGCGGTCCTTCCTATCAGCTCGCTGCTAATTACGTTTCGTCACTCACATTTAGTAATTGGCTTTTCCATATGAAGGCGGAGGAAAGAGGGGGGCGGGCGATGGGAGGGGGCAGGCGGGGGGGGGGGGGGGGGGGGGGGGGGGGCGGCACTCAAACAGCACCAGAAGCATGGTCGGTCCTTACATGACATCAGATTAAATGAATACATGAATTCCAATGGAAGTTGCCGCTTTGATAAATGGCCAAAGGGATGAGAGGGAAAGAGTCGTGGCTGAAGCCCACGGAGGTGGCGTCCTGGCCACGACTCGGCGGAGACGAACCCCTTTGCCCAAATAAAACCAGCGAATGCATGTAGCTCACAATGCCACGTCTCACAGCCTCCGATCTTCGTATCAGGATCAGATCCACTGATGGTCATCGACGGGTTTTCTTACATTTCATTATTGAGATAGCACAACCTAACCGCTGTCATTTAGCTGACGCTTTTATCCAAAGCAACTTACAATAAGTGCATTTCGACTACAAGGATAAAAACAAGAAACAAGCCGATTTACATCTGAAACCTACTATAGAATAAGAGCCATTATAAGTGCAATTTAAGTGCTACAGTTTGAATGTATTGAGATGCATCGAGATGTGAACACGCCTCCGGAATACAGAGCCACTTTTAAACTAGTTTACGCGTCTCGTCAGCTGGAATACACAAGGGCTCTCTAGTAGAGCCAGATGTTAAAGTGACCCGGAGCACGTTGGTCGGCGTGTTTATTTGTCGAGTCAGGGTTGGTTGGAGGGCGACTGCGGGGGACCAACAGCTTGACGCGCGCTGACAGACGGTTACAAAGTATCACAGAAAGGAGGGATGAGTGTGTCAACAAGTGGAGCGATGCAACGCAGTGATAGAAGAAAGAACGAACCCAGGGCTGGTTGTGTAAACAGATGGAAGGAGCTGATAAAAGCCCCGACCTGCCTGTCCACGGCTCCCTGGCCTAGATGAACCCTAAGGAGGCCTGAGGATGCCCGATTGCGCTTGTCAGCTTGCGACTGTGGGTTAAGCATGCTTACAAGGATAGAATGATTCACATTGTTTCACATAAACGCGAGATGGAAGTCAGCGGACATGTATGTTTTACGGCCAGGACACCAAGGATGAGGAAGTAGTTAATGGTTACGAGCCACTGGCCGCCCCGAGGCCTCTCCCTCAGGTTTTTTTGGCGGTGGGTGGTCCGCTGTTTGTTTTGGTGTGGTGTGACGGGACAATGCCAGCCTGTGTGACCGGCCAGCCGCCTACAAAAGCCTTCATTGATGTGAGCGCCCGAGTGGCACTGGGAGCGGGTTTGCCCCACAAGCCTCCGGATGGCAGAAAGAAGGCATTGACACCACTGCGGTCCCACTGTTTAAGTTCTCTTCCAATCTCTTGCCAAGTGAATATGTAAATGATCCGAAAGTTCAACGAAGCGAGAGTCATAATGTTAATGTTATTTAAAGTGACAGGGAGCTCCGGAACACTATTCTTTGTTTCTCTGTCATATAGTATCTGTGTTTTTCTGTCTCATCAGCTGGTCATTCGGGGTGCTGATGTGGGAGATCTTCACCCTCGGGGGATCCCCCTATCCTGGCATCCCTGTCGAAGAGCTCTTCAAGTTGCTCAAAGAGGGACATCGCATGGATAAGCCTGGCAACTGCACCAACGAGCTGTAAGCGCCGTTTCTCCCAAAGTCACATCCTCGCCCTAAACGCACACGACAGACTCTTTAACGCCACCCCAGCCTTCCTCAGATCCACGACTCCAGGACTCTGTGCGCACCGTCGGGCCGCTGCACAGCTGTGACTGGCCGCTAGAAGTGTCCTCATTCGAAAGAGACAACTAGAGACCAGTGCCACACTAGTAGGGTTGATGGAGGTCAAAGTACAGGCACAATGGCAGTTCAAGACACACATACGCACGCACATGCACATACGAACACACGTGCGCGCACATTGTAGTTTGTTGTGATTAGCAGCAGGCCCTCGGTATTCTCACAGTTTTTGATGGCAGGCCGGAATACATTTTAAAATGAGACCTGCGGTTCTTTGACATGGACACCCGAGTCCAGAGGCATAAACTCTTCAGCCAGCAAATGTTGAAACTTGAATACGAGTCAGATAAGGAGAGGCACAGGTCGAGTTTGGATGGGCTAAATAAGGCCGAAGGACGCTTGTCTCTGAGTAATCAGCCACCATTTGTTTTCTCTCCCTCAGGTACATGATGATGAAAGACTGTTGGCATGCCATCTCATCGCACAGACCCACCTTCAAGCAGCTAGTAGAGGATCTGGATCGCATCCTTTCCCTCAACACAAACGAGGTGAGCTCATTTCACTCTTATTCAAGTCCTGGGATTCAGGGTGGTCGGAAATCATGCTGCACAAACCTTAACTTTTCCTGTCAAGTGTGAGTCCGGTAATAAAACGGTACATTCCTACACACAGTAACATGCTTCTTAGTCCAAACTAAATGATTCTTGTGCCAGTGAATGCAGGGTTCAGCAGAATGTTGCTGGGAGCCTTAGAGCATTAGCATCTACAAAGCTGACAAAAGGCCTTCGTGGTGACCGAAAAAATGTCCAGATGTTTTGATCCAGGCATAACATGGCCGCCACGGCCCGGCGGAGTTGCCCAATCGTCACATTCTGGCCTTGCTCCTTTCTATGGCCAGAGTTTCTCTCCATCCCCCGCTTCTTGTCTCGTGTGATATCCGAGGGCAGACCTGAGGAGAGCTCGTCGATGGAAAGCTGTCAAGACTCGTCTGCTCATGGAGCTGGAACTCCGTGAAATTGAGCCAAAAAAAAAGGCCAAGTTTTAGTTTGAACTTTTGAAATGTAACAAGGTGGCTTTTTCTAGCCTTTTCCCCCTCCTCCTCCTTTTCCTCTGCCCCAAACCGCTGGCAGATGTGGAGGTCTTTAGTAATACGAGACTTCTTGTGTTGAGGAGGGAAAATGGAAGCCAGCGCTCTTTTTCTAGAAAATCCCAAGACATGTAACAGAGATGAAGAGACGTATAACAACCCCATTACGTTGGGACGAGTCAGAAATGAATAACAGGATTTCTTGAGGTTTTCATTTTCCTTCATCTTCTTTTGTGTGTGTGTGTGGGGGGGGGGGGGGAGGGGGGGCAGCGCTGCTGTCACACACTCGTACTGCCATGCACACACACACACACACTGCGTGCTCACAAGAAGTCTTAAAGGAGAGGACGGGGACCCTACTGAAGCTGTTGTTGTTTTTAACTGACTGAATGATTTGACTTTCCCCAGGGACCCTCCTCCTCCTCCTCCTCCTCCTCCTCCTCCTCCTCCTCCTCCCTTCATAACAACACACAGATTTCAGAGTTTGGTTCTCACGTTAGGTTGCTTTTTTGTTGTCGAAGACATTACTCATTGAGTGATCCCATTCCAGCGGCTGGCATTCCAAGACTGTTGTTTGCTCCTGGAGGAAAGTGTGGACCTGTGTGAACTCAAAAGGAACCGCGGGACTAGAAGAGGACGTCTAATAGGAAAAGGACCGAGCTTCAACTAACAAAAGAGAGGAATAGAAGCGGAGCACATATAGAAACAGTTTTCCTCTTTATTTTGTAATATTGATTGACTTTCTTGGTTCTCTTCATAAAACCTTCCCAATTATTCTGGAGAGAAATACACAGTGTAATGTATAGTGCTGGGTATATTTGTAAATATATTCAAAATGTATAAATATATATATTATATATTTACAATGAACTATTTTTTGTATGGACTCCGAAATAACCCCAACCCTCTACACCCTATTTTGAGTCTGAGGCAGGTATTCTAACAGGTTACGTCACACACACACAGACATGGATACACACTTAAACGTACACAAACACCTGTTTTACTCCCACTCAGTAACACAGAGTATTGGCTTTCAGGGACTGAGGTAGCATGTTAATTTATTGACTTATGTTTTTTTTAAATGAATCAAAAAGAGCCTGGAGAAAAAGAAGAACAACATGGCATAAATGATTACATTAATGATGCTGATAATACATAAATAATCCATTCAATTTATGGTAATTTAAATGATCTTTCAGCAGTAACAGAAAAAAACTATTTTAGTGGGTTTGAAAATCCAGGTTTTGTAAGTTTTATATATATGAATGTGAATATTAAGTTAAATTTAAAACAACTGTACATTTTATAGTCCGCTAATCCCTTTCTTACGTAGATGATGATGCCATTTCTATCCAGACATTTTACTCTTTCTAAACTTGGTTTAAGGAAACAAGATTTATTCCTGGATATTTATATACGATTGATAGAAAATAATGGAAATGCCTACTAGCAATCCACTCTCATTTTGACAAAATATAGACTCCAAATTAACTCGACAGAATTGAAAGCTGAAAAACAAAGTATTAAATCATTCAAGTGTTTTTTTGTCTTTTTCTACTGGACCAACTTTAAGATGCTCTTTTGCAAGTGTTCATTCCACATTTGCGAAATAAAAGATGGAAAATGTATATTCTCGTCCTAATCTCTGACTTCGCTGAGAGATAATCAAAAGATAATGCTGGATTTGTTTTTTTTGTCCAAGCAGGAAGAATGTGTTATCATTAAGTGCACATTCCACCCAGCTACATTTATTTTTCTTTGTGTTTGATATGGACAAGGAAGAGAAACTTACTTTTCTTGTATGCTTTGATTCTTTACTTGCTATGGCTTTGAAATGGAAAACTGGATGACTGTAGGGGCTCTAAACCTTTTTTTATTTATCTCGGACTAATGTGTCTTATATAAGTGACGTACTTTTACTTAAAAACACTCACATGCTTAAGTGTTCTTTATAAGCTTAACGCTAAACCTCTAAACTGCTCAACTCAGCACAAACACACAGAAATGTGATCAGGTTTAGTACTGAATTCATGCTCCCGGCCAAAGCAATCTAGTTAATGAACAGGGAGCTGGTCACCGCCATGATAGTGTGTCTCTGTGTCCCGACTTTGATCACACAAAGAGTCTTTGCTGCACTAATAGGTGCAACGATTAGCTGATCGATTTCTCTCTTATCAGAACAAAATCCATTCTGTCCTGTTCTGCCAGTTGATTTATCCCATTTGATGTAAGTTAATCAAAGTTAATCGATGAGCGAGGGCGATTGATTGTGGCAGCCGTGGATGTGGATGTATGTAGTAAAGGCGGGTACTTATCAACCGTATAACAAGAATGTTGTCAGTACACGACAAAGACAGACGTATTCTATAGAAAGCCTCGCACTGCAGAAAATACGCTCAGTGGCATACAAATAAATACGTAAAAGATTAAAAAGCTGACATTGGACTCTTAACGAGCTTCACCGTGGTCACATTGGTCTTGAAGGAATGTAGTAATAAATAAAAGCGCTGCATAAAATGTTGAGGTGTCAACAGGTATCAAGTTACTGCAATTCATCCTGGGGGGGAATTTTTGGCGATCCGTCCAACAGATGTCATGACAGCCACAACTGTACTCTAGTTAATGATCATAAAACAGTTATGTCATAAGCATCGCACATATTGTAAAACTTTTATGTTCATTCCGTACACATGACTTCTAATGCACATCCCGGTGGAGGGATTCCTCCTCGGTTGCTCTCCCGAAGGTCTCCTCCTTGTTTTCGTCCTGTGGGAGAGTTGTTCCTGTGCCTGTACAGTACTTAAGGCTCCCGGCACAGAGGGTGTCACATATGTACAGACTGTAAAGCTGTCTGAGGCTACTTTGTGATTTTAATTAAATAGAAAAAAAGTCACAGGGGTTATCAAAATGACCACAGTGCGCACTCTGGGAACCATAAATGTCCAAAATGTTGTGGCAGTCAATTATGTTGACATTGAGATAAGATAAGTTAGACATTTCACAGCCTGGTGGTGCTGGATAAAACGTCTGGGGATCCCCATAGTAAGCAGGGCTGATGCTCGGGCAAAATGAATATTTGTACACCAGCCGATAATAAATAAAGTGAAGGTAACAGCATGCTGAGAAATGATGGTTGAAAGAGCAATAAGAAATATTAATCTGGAAGTAAAAATACAGGATAGACATTAAGGAGATCAACAAACGTTCTTGGCGAGTTGGCGAGACCTTTAACATAAATCCTGATTCCTTTCATTACCTTGTTTTAACTTGTTCTAAATAAACATGGTCACACACACACACACCACTAAGTCATCCTCCAGTAAACGTGTCCCCTCATGTCTCCGGAACCAGAAAAGAGGATTGGGGGGAAAGTCAGTCAGAAAACATTCCTGTTTTTTCCATTGAGTAAGGAAGGGGGGGGGGGGGGGGGGGCAGCTACAGCCCTGGAGGATCGGAAAGAAAGAGTGGCAGGATGAAACCACAGCGCCATACACCCTCATTAAGGGGGGAGTGGAGAGAAAGGCAGCCGGATATCCACACTGGCTATTGCACACTCTCATCACAACGCTTGTCTATTGTGCTGGTGGCTGGTGGCACACACAAGCAGGCAGGGAGGGAGAAGGAGGGGGGGGGGAGCTCCTGGGAGACCAAAGAGAGGATGTAGTTTGTTCCTTCTTGACAAAATGCCCTCCGAGGTGCCATTGAGTTTATGCGAGACAAATACACTTTATCCGACATCAGTAATGTGACGCAATGGATCTTAATTTAGATTAGAGCTCTTTCAAGAGACGCACTATGACTTCTGTTTACATTGATTGTGAAGTAAAAGTATATAAATAGACAGGTTATAATCAGTCAGTCCTCATGTGAAGGTAACAAACAGCTTTTGTTTTTGAGGTTAATGCTGCACTGAGGCAGAAATCTTCATTGCATTGATTGCATTATTCAATGTCATTTGAGTTTTGAGTTTTGCATAACTTTCCTGTGCCAACATAAAATTGTGGTTCAGGTTTTGCTGTCATATGTTCACTGCAATGTGAATATATTCTGATGTTGTTCTTTATACATCACGCCAATGCCCCGAGGACTCATGGGGCGGTGACCTTTTATAAACACGACCCACCACGCTCAGTCAAAGCTCCAAACCACTTTTTCATTTGGAGGGGTTTTTACTCCATGGTTTCCCTAATGCCCTGAAGATTAACCCAGTGACCCTCAAATATTAGCTGTGACTGGCTTCAGGGAGACGTGGCAGACAGAGGAACACTATTTGTTCATTCCATGTGTATTGTATCGCGAAAGGCCCTGACGGATATCAGCTTTTTTGCCAGAGAATCGTTTGTCAGTGGACGGAGGGACATCTGGCAGCGGGACAGATTCATGGACTGCTGGGGTAGCCTGACATTTTTGGCGGAGTAAAGCGATTTTCATTCTGATCCTGCTGTTTCTTCCTGTCCTTCCTAGTCCTCCTCTGCGTCCTTGGTCCTAGCCCTGTCCTCCCTCGCCTAGCCATCTGGTGGGGCCTGGTGTGTTTTCACAAGGCCCGGCCCTCTGGAATGTCAACACAGGGCTTTGTGTGAAGCCAGAGGAGCCCACATCCACTGGAGATAAGACCCCACCAACCCGGGGGAGAGGAGGAGGGGTCAGAGGGTGGGAGGCTGGGGGGGGGGGTGGGGGGGGGGGTCGTAATTTGAGAGACTAAAAGTTTTACAAAGCTGAGCGAAATACCCACCGCTCAATCCCCCTCTACCAACACTCTGCTTTGCCAACAACTGGGAACAGGAAACGTATGTCTGTGTTCAAGGGGTCTGCTCCCCCGCGTAATTATTTTATTCCCTGCGTTCAAAGCAGATATTTCTCTAAACTCTTTACCACCGACCAACGAGGCGAGAGCATCAATCTGCCCTCCTCAACCTGCCGTTTGCATCGAGTGGCAGATAATGAATGGTTCATCGCCAGGTCAGTGCTCATGAGAGGGAGGGGTCCACTTGTGTTTGATGGGCTTGCAAGGCACCATGTCTGGTTCTGCATGACGGCATAAACAAGACGAGTGTGTGTTTTGTGCGTGCGACGATGTGTGTGGTTTGCTGCCCCCCTGGGATCCTCTAAACATTTGCTAATGGCGCAATTGTGTCTGAGCAATTGTAATTCACTTCCAGTCAGTTTATATACTGACTTTGCTATGTCTGAGTGTCTGAGGTAACAGCCCCTGGAGGTTGATCGGTGGAATAAGACGAGCTGAAACCAAATTGTTTAGAGGGGGATAACAGGGCAGACTTGCCAGACCTCAATGACTGACGTCTTTGAAAGAAGTTTAGAGAGATTTCTGTTTATCAACTAAGCGGAAGAAGGAGTAATGTGCCCCTATTAGTAGTGTTTAGTCAGTAAGTAGGTTAAATATTCCACACACACACATTCACACACAATTTGAAGTCACATTCTGAACGTGGCATCTTTTATAGCTCTGGGTGTGTTCTATAAAGCAGCTTAGTCATAATGTTCCCTTTCCAGTTATGCCAATCACAACACTCACCCCGTCCGTCAGCCCCGTTCCCCGCGTGATGACGTCACTGGTAACATCTAAAGCCATAAACCCTGACACATGCTAATGATGCCCTGCCAAGGTGACAAACATTGGCTTGGAAAGATTGTTTTCATGCGCCCCAAAAACAAAATGCCTCTTTTAGTAGGGACACATCTGGACTAACGAGTAAAGTCAGAGGCAGAGATGTTGTGTTTTAGATAAAAACCCAGCTTGAGAGCACACGAGCGATCAATAACTGCACTTTCACAAAGTTAGAGAAGAGGTCCACAAAGGGTTGAAAACCACAGAAATGCAACTGAATAATGTCCATCGTCCCTGAATGTCTTCCTACCCTTTCCCGGATGATGACACAGGCTTTCATCAATGATCGGCACTCGGGCAGCGACCGAGACACCCATGAAGCCACTCGAGTCCATGTCTCAGACTTTACAGAGAGGTTATACAGCTGTTTTCACAGACTGGAACTACTCTGTGTAAGAGGTGCTTTTCTGCCCCTTTAATAAAGAAACAGCTTTCCTATTCTTATTTTTGTCATTCATTCTAAAATGAGTCCAATTATGTCTGCCTCAAAGACAGCAGTGTCATCCAGCGGGATTCATAGTTATTTATTGATTTTTATTTGGATTTTTTCTTTGATGGCCTGACAGCTGCCTGAAGGGACTCCTACCAAGCCAAAGTCACAGCAGAGAGAAGGTTTATTTACATGGTCATGTTCCAGTTATTGTACTTTGGACTCCATTATGAAAAAAAGTAGATAATAGCAAACAACTGAATCAGAGGGCGAGTTCAGAGACAAGCTGCTCTTCTCCCCTCACACAAAGTAGAGCAGTATGTTGCTGGCAGAAGGACAGCGAGGTGACGGTGAAGAGTCTGTTGCCTCTTCTGGCCTTCGTGTCAGGAGAGAGAGATAAATGGAAATGTGCACGCAAGACAGTTAACCACGCCAGCGCTGTTACTGTCATGAGTAAACACACAGCAGTAAAAAAAATATAAAAAGAGTGCCCATAAAGGATGTATAATTGAAACGGTGCAGGAGGGGCAGTCAATCACATCTATATTGCTCCCAAGAGTCCACGAACTGTA